GGCGAAGTCGAGGGCACGGAAAAAACTCACATGATTACCAACCGCATCCGGGAGCTACGAGTCCAACGATGCAAGAAAATCTTGAACTTCCTTAAGCGAAAAAATCCGGTAATCCTGTTCACCGACGAGAGCATGTTTACCGTCGATCCCGTATCAAATTCCAAAACCGACCGGTAGTTCTCTTCCGGTAAAAGACGACTAGCACAAGAACGTGTATCTGACCAAGCATCCTGCTAGCGTTATAGTGTTTGGATTGGTGGCTTCCGATGTCAAAAAATGAACCGGTGTTCATTCCAGAAGGCGACAAGGTCAACACGAAGGTCTACATCGGGATTTTAAGTAAATATGTTCTTCCATGGATCAAAGAACAGTACGGTCCGAAGCCAAATGTTGTATTTCAACAAGATGGGGCTCCGTGGCACACCTCGAACCGCACTCAGCAGTGGTTGCAGGAACATCTTCCGTTCTGGGCGAAGGAGATGTGGCCGCCATCCAGCCCCGATCTTAATCCGCTGGATCACTCAAAATGGCGCGTCATGAAGGCCAAGGCCAGTTCTAAACGATACCCGAGTACAGCAAGCCTCAGATAAACATTGACCCGTAACTGGAGAGAAATGGATCCAGACTACATTATTAGAACCTGCCGTGCATTCCGGAAGCGTGTGGAGGCCGTAATTGCAGCAAGTGGAAACTCGATCGATGATTAACATAGTTTAAGACTCTCAGAAACATCCCCCCTTTGAATAAATAAAAAAAAAACTCGAAAACGAAATTTTTGAGATTTTTTTTTTTAAGTTTTGACATTGCTCAATGGTGCAAACATTATCACGCATACGTTAGATCTTCAGGAGCTACAACCCTGGATTTTTTAGATTTTTAAAAATTTCAACTTTCAGAAGATATTACTCCACAACGAAATAAGCTATTCGTGATATTAGAACGTCAATTTGAAGGTTTGTTAATGCATATTCTTATAGGTGTATCCATATTTTGATTTTGTTGTAGTAACTACAGTAAACAGGCTGATTACCGGCAGATATCCAAATTGTAAAAAAAAACAATTTTTCAATATAGGTGAGATTTTTTATTCTCTGGTAAAAAATATATATTAATTACTCAAATAAGGGTATAAATCAAGTTGGAGCTGTCATCCATAACTGACATTTTATCAACCTGCTAATCTATCTGATTTCATCGTACTTCGAAAGCACAACGGGTTGGCTGTATCCCATAGGAACGTATTTTTTTACTGTTGGGATCACAATTAAATTATAGACAGAAGTAAATAAATGAGCTAGTTATGATTTCATATAATGAGAATCCTGCCCAGAATATGTGAAAAAGAAAACTTAAAATATGATTGTGCCATCGGCGTGAAGGAATTCAAGAAAACAATATAAATATTAAATAGCATTGATCTTCCACCAGAAAAGCTTAAGACTCCAACTCACTCATGTGGTCATATCTCAAAAACTATTTGACCAAATAATTTGCCCTATCAAAAAGAAGAGTTTTCCAAAGTGTGGTGAAAATTTGAGCCCAAAATAATAAGAAATAATAATCCCACCCATGGTGAAAATAGGCCATTTTTTTACAATTTGGATACCTGCCGGTTATCAGATTGTTTACTGTAGTAACTACAAAATCAAACTGTGAATATACCTTTAATAATTTAAATTAAAAAAAAAACTTTGTATTGACGATCTAAGGTCACAAAAAGCTTATTTGGTTCTGAGAGATGACATTTTTAAAAATCTCGAAAATCCAGGGTTGTAGCCGAGAGGGACCTAGGCACTTCAGAGCAAAATAAAAAAGGTGTTTGTTCAGAATGCCAAAATAAGCATTTTGGTCAAGTTTGGCTTAAAACGGTGACATCGACCACAGGTGGTGTACCCACTTGACCTGGAAAGACCCATATTGGTAATCCGTTTCTTGCAGTTCTTGAATAATGGACCAGTCTCGTTGGTGAAGATTGTGATCAGCATTGAAATGTTTCTGTTATGTTTACGTTAGGTGAATTTTGGAACTAAGTGAACAGCAGAACAGGACCCCATATTGACACAATAGACCATATTTTAGTTATTGATGTCTTAACATTATTTTTGATGTAAACTAATGTCTCAGCAATACAATAGCTTATAATGAATTTTGGGACGTTCTATCGTATCAAGTGTTAGTTTTTATCACTATGGATGAGAAGCATTGATGCTATTTAAATTAACTATTCATATTTATTGAATTTATTGGGTGATCAACGAATTTTAATCTTCACCGCTTATCTAGAAATACAGTCTAGATCAATTCTTGTCGGATTATCCTGAGATTTAGCATTTGCGGATAAACTCTGATAGATTTGTAAAAAAAAATAATAAAAAATATTTGAGCTGATTAAACTGGAATAAGCTATTTTTAAGCTGATGAATAAGCTCTAATTTGGCTTGAAATGTTTAATGAGAGAGAGAAGGATTAGTAATTTCCATTTAATTCTTGTACTAATACTCGACTGATATTGGTACAAGACACTGAAGAAGTCTACACATCTGTCAAGGATGAGCAAATAAGGTAGTGGAATTAAATGGAAATTACTAACCCTTCTCTTTCTCTTTATACAGGTATTCCACTAAGACGCCCACATTCATCAGGATTGAATTTTTTTGTTGTGGTTCTTTTAAGTCGATATAGAGTAATGATATATTCAGCTAAGTTGTAGGATACGTCATGACAAGCAACTGTGCAGAAGACATCGATACTCATATTAAGTTCAATATTTTCAGATTCATGGACGGTTTTTTATAATCCCTTAAATTGAGTTTTTTGAGCATCAATTTTTAGTGGCACTAGAAAAAATGTTTTGCATTTTGCCATTTCGTATCACTTTGACACAGGTCAACATTTTTCCCCTAATTTGAGATAAATCCATCCAAACCAGAATATTCTGACCAATAACCATCGCTCAACTCCGTAGAGCAAGGCAAAGCCAGTCATCAACGCGTGACATTACTCCATGCAGACCATAAAGCAAAACTTTTTATGCATTTTGTGTTCGTCTCATTAACCTTCGTTCCATTACCGGTTTTTCGCTCCATCGTCTTTGTGTACGTACCCACCCACCTTCCTACCCTACCTACCCGTCTACCACCAATACAATAGTTGTAGAACGGATGCTAAACTTCCTCAACTTTTTGCCCCTCGGGTGCTTTGCCAGATGCAACTCCATCCCAGAAAGGGTCACAAGTTCTTCCCCTTCGGTTTCGGTTCTCACACTACCGAGCGACCAGGGCATTATTGCAACATAATTATTTTCTTTGTAATTAATTTTTTAATTAAATTTCAAAATAATTGTTTCAGCTGATGGCTGTACACGATGGACCTTCATCTCTTGGTTCTCAGTTTCCCGAAACAAAACAGGAGGTCACGGACAGGGAAAGTTCAAAAGAGGAATCTCCCCTCTTTTCCGTGAAGGCATGAAGCCAGAAGTGCTCATCTTCGTTAAAAGGCGGTACACCAAATGCCGATGACACAATGAGATGCTCATTATAAAAAAAATCTTGAACATACGCATGCAAAAGCCGCTAGTTCCTGATGATCTCCTTGTTTTTTTTTGGGAATCTTCAGGGCAGTGTTGCGAAAAACTCAGAAACTCGAATGTAATGCAAGAGGTTCAATAATTCATTGCTTTATATTTTGACGATCTTCATTGTTCTTAATGTAATTTTAGCACCATTCGATGGAAAACCATCCATCGACGACTGACCTGTTTTTATGAGTTTTGAGGTGAAAATGCCTGAGAATCTCAAGCGTGAGATTTGATCGAAAATTCGCACGCGAGTTTATTCACTCTGGAGTGCTCAACGAATGAGATTTGAGAATGATTTTCCGAACACTGCTCCAGGGTGACCTTCCCCAATTAGAACATACACGTTAGCGTCAAAGAGCTATGCCCCCGAAAATCTTCCATACAACCCTGACCCGAGAGATGGACCTGATGTCGAACTTCGATGAAATTTAATGAGACCGCACATTTTATCCCCGCAAAAGGCGCACACACACACACACCCAGGCAGGCAAAACGGAGAAAAAGCGTGACGACGATGGCAGCCATCCCGACCGATGGACGATGCCAGATGCTTGCTGCTGCTGCTGCTGGGGACACAAAAGATTGCACTGACGACTGCTGGCTGGTGTTCCTGTTGCTCCTGGCGGAGAACAGCCGATCCCTGTTAGGCGCCTGCAACGGGAATAAGTTTTGATACGGAAATTGTCGAACGAATCTGTTGAGAAAGGGGGCGGGGGAGGCACACCAGGCCACAGCAAGCAGCCAGAAGGTATAAGAGCACACAACAACACAGTGAAGGAAGACACGTACATTCATTTATTCTTGCTTCCCTCGTTCATTATAATATATAGATTCGGTACAATTATACAAAACTAAACTTCTATTTTAAACGGACGATCATTAAAATAAATTGCTCCGAGCTCGTTATGTGTATCCTTTTAGCTGGAAAGTTTTTCCTTGCCGCGCTCGATGCTGGGCTGGTTGGTGTTGCTTCCCACTAGTGCTCTACTGCTGGAGGATTGCTGGAGGATTACTGAAGCCTTGGTGTCACTATCAGGACAAGCGGGTGCGTTTGTGTGTCATAAGCGTGCGTAGATTTTGGTAGACTGAATAAATGATTTTTTGTTTTTTTTTCTTTTTGATAAATTTGGACCGTACAATGTATGCAACTAACATGACATGACTACTGATTTGTGGGCTTCGTGACCGTGTGTTTAATCGCTTTGCCGTTCAGACGAGTTAGGTTATTCAGTGAAACGAGTGTCTGCTCAACGAACAGATGAGTTTGGGTTTTATCCCAGGCCCGTCCACTTTAAAAAGTGTGCCTTGCTTATGCCCGGCTCATACGCTCTTCTATAACGTTGCGATCGGCGCGTCTCTCTCTTTTTTCTCGATAGTCATAGCCTGCAAGCCGCGATTGCTTGATTGAGGCTACAGGCCGTGCTCCAATTCATGTTAATAAAGAAGCTACAATTACTATATTTCAAAATAAAATTTGATTTAATGGATAAAATTGAAGTCCTCGGAATTTACTAATATGAGTAAAAGGTAAAATTATTAAAATAGCAATAGATAATACTAATGCAATTACTCCTCCTAATTTATTAGGAATTGATCGTAAAATTGCATAAGCAAATAAAAAATATCATTCTGCTTGAATATGAACAGGAGTAACTAAAGGATTAGCAGGAATAAAATTTTCTGGGTCTATTAATAAATAATTAAATTTTCAAATAAATCCAATTAAAATTCAAATAAAAATTACAAATCCAAATACGTCCTTATAAATAAAATAAGGATGAAATGGAATTTTATCTACATTTCTATTTAATCCTAATGGATTATTTGAACCTGTTTGATGTAAAAATAATAAATGAATTATTGTTAAAGCTAGTACAATAAAAGGTAAAATAAAATGGAATGTAAAAAATCGTGTTAAAGTAGCATTATCAACTGCAAATCCTCCTCAAATTCATTGAACAAGATCTGTTCCTAAATAAGGAACTGCTGATAAAAGATTTGTAATTACTGTGGCACCTCAAAAGGATATTTGTCCTCATGGTAAAACATATCCTAAAAATCCGGTTGCTATTACTATAAATAAAATAATTACTCCAATTATTCATGTTGGAGTAAATAAATAAGAACTATAATAAACTCCTCGTCCTACATGGATAAATAAGCAAGCAAAAAAAAAGGAAGCTCCATTAGCATGACAAATTCGTAAAAATCATCCATTATTAACATCTCGATAAATATGATTTACTCTATTAAAAGCTGTTTCAATATCAGCAGTGTAATGTATAGCTAAAAATAATCCAGTTAAAATTTGAATAATAAGACATAATCCTAATAATGAACCGAAATTTCATCAATCATTTTTATTATTTCCATAATGATAAACTAATATAATCTTTAAACCAAACAAATCTTACATCACATCTGAATAAAATGGTGTGATTATAATTTAAATCCATGCATAAATGACCAAGTTATTAGAGTTTAAAACCTATCACTATTTCGTCACACAACTTTGGGGTGCAACAGTATATTCAACACAGACGTAAGCGTACGTTAGAAACTTGGTTCCATACAAAAAACAAACATGCGTGAAATGAATTACAAGTTTACGTGAATCAATGTTTACATCACAGTTAAAATTCTTAAGCTTTATTTGTTTTGAGTCCTTGATCAATTTATTAGATCATTGTTTCGCATTTCCACACTTGTTAATCGTCCATTTATTCTCATGAAACTCAGCCTGATTCCCAACTTCTTTCTGAATTCCAAATGCTTTCCTTTGAATGTGAATGCTTGAAAACTCCTGTACTAGAACAGTTATCAGATAAACTCTGGGAAATTTGAAGGAAATTATTGAGATTATTTGAAATAACATTTTTGAAACAAGTAATAAGTTTGGTTTTATGAGGGTTCTATAGACCATGAATTAGACTTGTAGAATGCTATAAAACCTCTATAAAACTTGCAATGTTACTTGGGTAACTATGTCCATCTATGACAATGACAACTCGTTCGTATGTCACTGTTATAGACGGTCATAGTTGTAGACCTGTAAATGTGCTGCCATGTTGTATCCAAACCGAACATTTTCCATACGATTTGACGTTTTTTTTTGATACGTCAACTCAGAACACCCACATGTAGTTTTAGTGCTGAACGAAGCAGCCATTTTCGCCGTTTTGTTCCTGAATAAGAGTCGCTAAAATGTGGAATAAATCAAGGGGAACCCGAGAGGAAACCCCATAACGAACTTTTTCAAAGGATCAGGTAAGCTATAAGTTAAGGAAAATCAATAAAAATACTTGCAGAAATCATTATGTTGAGTTCCATGTGATTTGAGGTATCGCATAATGCAATGCAGAATCTGTCCACTTCCCGGAGGTACCGGTACATCTGAAATTGATCTTATTGTGAAATTCTAATGTGATTTGAGGTGCCGCATAATTTTTTTTTTTCCTTTGGTTTGTTTTTTCCGTCGATCTTGTTTTCCGTGCTGAGCACCAATGCTATCGACGTGCCAGGAAGGCAGCTCCCACACCTGGACCCTACCTATCGACCCATCAACTCATGAACCGGGGACCAACGGCTTTACTTCCCTTTCGAAGGAAGGCGTGATCAGAGATGTTATGCCTCAGAACATCCCGGCGGCGCTGACTGGGATTGAACCCAGGCCTGCTGGGGTGAGAGGTAATCACACTTACCACTACATCACCGGCGCCGTTAGGTGCCGCATATTGAATTTTAGATATATATATATATATATAAATATCTTTTGCAAATTCTCCAGTGGAATCTGGAATGCACCCCAAGCAGTGTTCGGAAAAACTCAAAAACTCAAATCTCATGCATGAGTTTATGCGCCTATGAGTTTATGACTTGCAAAATTCAACGTCACAAAAATCACCGATGAGTTTTCGGGTTCAAAAATTAATTGCTTTATATTTTGGCGTTATTCATTGTTATTACTATTGTTTGTGCATTAGGGGTTGGAAAACTAACACAACATGCATAGGCAAGATATCAATTGACGTTTGAGTGGTTTTTATGAGGTTAAAGGTGGAATGATTTTTCGGCGTTTTGAGTGTGAGTGCGTGAATATGCATGAGAATCTCAAGCGTGAGTTTTGTTTTCCGCATTCGAACGCGAGTTTATTCTCGCAGGGAAACTCAATGAATGAGATTTGAGAATGATTTTCCGAACACTGACCCCAAGTAACATTGCAAGCTTTATTGAGGTTTTATAGCATTCTTCAAGTCCAAGCCATGGTCTAGAGAACCCTCATAAAACCCAAATTGTTACTTTGGACATTTTTGTTCATATCTTCGGAACCATAATTTCGGAGTGATTTAAGATTTGGGCGTAAATGCTTTTTTAAACAAAGACGTTAATTGCCGATTTCTCTTAAATTAAAGCTCAATCTCATGAACAAACTATACCAAATGATAGAGGAATCATTTCATAGTTATTGTAGTATGGCGTACAAAGTAGTGTTTTTGTTGAGTTGTGCTGTGAAAATAAATTAATAATTTCGTGTGAAATAGTGGCGTGTGCCGCGAAAGGATTATTCCAACGCGTGCCCGTGGTGTTTTTCTAACAGGATAAGTAGAGGAAAGGTTGCTTAGCAACTAGTTTTTGTTTAATTTTGTATTTTCCCCCCGGCGCGCTATTGATTTGTATAGTGAGCTGTGGCGGTAAAATTTTATTTTGTGTTCTCCTCCCCTGTATATGTCTGCTGCTAACAGTGTTAGCGTTTAATTTGGTAGAATGGATGTGTGTAATGTATGCGAGCAGTCTATTGCTATGAGTGGGCTCCCAGTTACGTGTGTAGGTCCGTGCAATGGAACGTTCCATTTCGCTTGTGCGGCACTCACTAAGACTGCGGCCAGGCTTGTAGCAGATAATGCAAATATTCTGTTCAAGTGTGATAGTTGTCTATCAGATCAGAGTTGTGACGAGCAGAATGATCTGATCTCGCGCGTCAAAAGGATAGAGGAAGAGATGAAGAAGGTTTTTCAACTCTCGGACTCGATCACTGGCATGCGAGATCACATTGCTGCTCAGGTGGACATCGCGGTTAAAAGCGGGATGGCAGATATTAGAATAAATGTAAATGGTCTTGAAAATTTGATTTGTGAGAAATTGGATAATATGAAAAGTTCATTTTTTAAAATTGATGCGGAAAACCAATTAGCTGTAAAGAATGACCCGTGCAGTTCATCTAGGACAATTCAGTCGGAATCGGACAAAAATACCAGACGCAAAAAACGTAAATTAGTAATTAGTAATAGTGATCATGATGATGATGTTGTTTTTCAAGAAAATGCGAGTTTTGCGGATGTTGTAAAAAGACATAGTCGTATTAGTCAAAGTAAAACTAATAGTAACAGTAATAGTAAAAGTAACAAACCAGAAAATCGTAAGACTCGTCCAGTCATTGTGATTAAACCGAAAGAGTCCAAACAACCTTGCGAAGATACTCGTAAGTTTTTAAAAACTCAGTTGGATCCAAAAACACACAAAATCAGTAATTTTAGGAATGGTAAAGATGGCTCCATTATTGTTGAGTGTGCAACAGGAGCAAACGTAAGTGATGTGAAAAATGGTATTGAAAGCAATCTGGGTGAAAAATATAGTGCTGTTGTTCCCACTTCGGTGCCAAGATTGAAAATAGTGGGCATGAGCGATCAGTTTTCCTCCGATGTCTTTATTGACTACTTAAAAAGTCAAAATGAAGACATCGCTATTAATGATGTAAAAGTAGTGAACATGTTTGAAAATCCACGCTTCACTTATAACAAGTTTAGTGTTGTAATTGAAGTCGATGTCGATACTTATAAATGTTTGTTATGTGCGAAAAAAGTAAATGTAGGGTTTGATCGGTGCTCGATAGTTCCCGCGATTAATGTGTTGAGATGCTTCAAATGTGGAGAATTTGGGCACAAGAGCATGGATTGCAAAAATTGTGATAGATGCTCTAGGTGCAGCCAACAACACAAAACGTCGGAGTGTACGTCAACTGTATTGAAATGTATTAATTGTTTGAAAATGAATAAAGAACGAAAAATGAACTTGGACGTCAACCATGCCGCATTTAGCTCGGAATGTTTGCTCTATAAAAGACTTTTTGATCAGAAGAAAAGCAGCTTGCGTTTCAATAAATAGCAGCCAAGTTCCAGGAATGTGAATCAATTCGATTTTTTATATTTGAATATTGCGGGGTTGTCAACAAACTACGTAGCATTACGTCAGATTGTTGAGGAAAAACGTCCTCTTTTAGTTTTATTATCTGAAACTCATATTGTAGAAACTGAAGCTTTTGATCAGTATAGTATTCCGGGATATTGACTAGAGCTAATAGACGAGTGGTCAAAGCAATGGTATAGTATTCCGGGATATATTGTTGCTGCTTGTTTATCACATTCTAGACACACTGGCGGTGTTGCTATTTATGTCAAAGAATCAGTTCAATTCAACCTTCATACCAACGAAGTTATTGATGGCAACTGGTTCTTGGGCATTACAGTTGTACGTGGCATGAAGATGGGTAATTATGGTGTTTTGTATCATTCTCCCAGTTCTAGTGACCAGCGTTTTGTTGAAGTTTTAGAGAACTGGCTCGAGACATTCCTTGATTCTAGTAAATTAAATATATTGGCTGGTGATTTTAATATTAATTGGCGTGATAACCATAATTCGAATCATTTGAAGCGTTTAGCTGAGTTTTTTAATTTAAAGCAAACGGTAAATGAATATACGCGTATTTCCAGGCACAGTAGAACTTTAATTGACCACGTTTATTCCAATTTTGATTCCATTTGTTCAGTTACGGATACTGATTTGAAAATAACCGATCATGAGACTTTAGTGATTAATGTCTTAGACCATGTTAACGATAACGATAATTTTGTAAAATTGAAGTGCTGGAGGAAATATTCGAAGCAAGCTGTTTCAAATCTTGTTGAGAGAAGCCTGGATTTTCCATTCGCGGCCGGTAACTTAGATGAATCTACAGCTGTTCTTAATAACGCTTTGAAAACGTGTACCAATCAACTAGTTGAGCAAAAGTTTGTTTCTTTGAAAAACTCGAACAGCTGGTACAATTTGGATCTTTTGCGTCTTAAACGGAAAAGGGACAAATGGTACAAAAAGTTTTGTAGATCTAATAATGACAATCATTGGACTAGGTACACAATCGCGCGTAATAAGTATTCACAATCGATAAAGAAAACTCGTTGTGAATATGTTCAAAGGAAGATTGATCAGCATCAAAACAACAGCAAAGAGTTATGGAAAATTTTGAAATCTTTATTAAAACCTAGTAATTGCAAACCGCGGTCCATAACTTTT